TAAATCTTTGCCAATATTTTTATGTAACAAAACAAGGATCACATGTAGAACTATTTTTTCTTTTTTAGTCCAAATATTTTTAAATCAATTTTTTCATATTTTGATATTAATTATTTTTAAAAATATTATTTAATATCTTTATTTTTATTTTATTTTTATTTTAAAATTTTAATTATAATATCTATTTAATTAATTATTTTTAAAAATAATTAATTAAATTTAAATATAAAATTTAATTAATTAATTATTATATCTTTATTTTAATAAAAAAAACTAAACCTACTTGTAAAGTTAAACGGATAAAGTATAAAAAAAAATATCTAAATACTTCTACTCCTAATTTTTTCATCTGTTACACAAGTAAACACAATTTTTTATGTAAAATAACATTAATAATGTAACATAAACCACTGGTTTAATGAACTCGTCTCATTTATTCATTCTCTTTAACATTGCTCTTCTTAATTATTGAATTAATTTACGTTAATTAGTCGAAAGCAAACTTAAATAAGGAGAGGTCTACTGCAGGAGGGCCAAAATCCCCTTTGCATTCTTGGTGGAAAATACGAAGAAATTACTGATCATTGGCTGTTGTCTTGTAAAGAATGGTGGAAAGTATGGTCTTTATGCTATGATTTTTTTTTTTTTTTTGAAAATAAGTAATGGAATCTTTATGCTATGATTGGTTTTGTGGAAAATAAGAAGAAATTATTGATCGTTTTCTGTTCCCTTCGTGAGGAATCGTGGAAAGTGTGGCTTTTAGGCTATGATGATTTTGTGGAAAAAAAGTATAAAGAAATTATCGATCATTTGCCGTTCTCCTGTGAGGAATCTTGGAAAGTATGGTCTTTATGCGGTGATTGGTGGGGAATAAAGGCTGCAGCACATGGGAACTGTAAAAGTCACTTCGTACAACATATTGGCTTGGTTCCAAGAGGGTTTCAAAGAGACTCTTGGACAGTAGTTTGGTTTGCAGCAGCATGGTACTTAGGGTTTTGGAGAGACCAAAGATATTTAAGAATGAGGAAAAATCCCCTAGTGAGGTATTTTGAGCTAATCAAATTTAAAACTCTTTCTTGGATTGAAGTTAAAACAGGAATGGATTTGATAGAAAAATTATGGTATAACAGTCCAAGGGAGGCGCTTAAGTCACTTAACTGAGTTCTTGAATATTCTTCTAATCTGTACAGCCTTTGTCATTGACCCTGACAAGAAGTTTTAAGGAGAATTATGTTCTGTGTGTCTTTTATTTTTTTATTTTTAATATCTTTAAATTAATTGTTTAATATTATAAAAGATTAAATTTTTAACATTAATTTTAAATTAAAGTTTTTGTTAAATTCATATAAGGTATTAATTCAGTAAAACTCATATTAATATTATGTTTTATGTTTATTTTTTTTGTAAGATGATATTTATACTCACTTATAAAAAAAAAAAATTACTCTCCACGGAAACTTGAACTTAATCTTTCGTTAGCATAGGAGTTGTATTCACATGTTTAGGCTCATTTAATCGATAAGTTTGATTTATATTAACATAAAAGAAAGTATTGGTTGAAGAATCTTTATATCATATTATATATGATTAAATTATTATTTTTCAATTTAAATTGCACAAAAAATATAATATAAATTAAAAAATATATTTTAAAATAATATCCCAACATTCCGAAGCACATAATTTTTTTATTAACAAAAATAATTTCATTGAATAAGAGTACCAATGATATTTCCCATGACTGAAGTTCAAAAAATATAATAAGAAAATCGATCTTTCAAGTCCTAAATACCGATTCCATACCATGCAACCCTATTTACTGTTTTTTAGGATAAAACAATCAGAGATGATTGGATGTCTAGCACCTTAATTTTTTTGATGATTTTTCAGATAAATAAATATATATAAAAATTAAACTCTATAAGAATAGCCTTCCATCCATTTTCTTTAGCTTTAGGAGACCAGGCAAAAAATTTGAAATGCCACGATGTGTGGGTAAAGATTATGATCTTTACTTATTCACTGCAGTATTCAGAGCCACTTAGATACTCATTGTAATCTTTAAAGTACACAATCAATCGCTTCATGAACTCGTTACCACTTATGGTTTCAGTGTTACAGGCAAGATAACAATGTCTACTTGCTTTTGTCACAGTCACATTCATTTGCCAAAGGTCACTAAAGATACCCCACATAAATATATTTAAAATGCCACAGATTAAATTCCAATTCAAAATTCTACCAAAGGCCAAAAAAAAAAATAATAATAATAAAAAGAGATGAAACAGTAACTTAAAATACCTCCTTAGTTGCGTTTCATTGAACCTGTATGGACATAATTAGGAGTTTAGGACTTCCTTCTCTCAACCTTAGAAAAACATCAGAAGTTGAGATTTCTACATTGCTTCTCAACATCTTTGAGGTCCATGCAGGAGAAATACATCCTTTAAGGACAGTTTCTTTCAAAATGGCTACTTTTTTGAAAAAAATGGAGGAATTATGTTTAAACAATTTAAAAATTGAGACCAACTAAATCCTAAAAAAGCTCAAATAAAGCAGGCCCAATAAAATTTAACCTTAAGGCCCAAGATAATTTAATTTACTTTTGTTTTTGGCCCAATTTAACGGGGCTCCAAACACAGACCCAAAAATAAAAAGGCCGAAGTAAAAGGTAATGAACCATTGTCAACAGAAAAGCACAAGCATGGCTGCACCGGAAAAGTATGTAATTACACACCTGAGAGTGATAAAGGCTGGAGCTAAAAAGGGTGAGTGAACATTCCTTTGACCATTTCAGAGCCAGTGGTCTCTAATATGTCACCAGGAGTTTTATTTGTGACTAAAGCATACCAAACCGCAGCACTGCAGCCAAGTCAATATTTTTTTCCTATTATTAATGGAACAATGGAAGAAAGACCAGAGATAATTAGAGAGGGCATGGTATAGAAATCCGTAAAGCTCCGACTAGGCAACCAAAAGCTCTGAAGAGAACAGATATTTGTAAAACCTTCATTCAATTGCAGCGTATATTGTTCTGCAATGGTACAAAAAGAATGATGACAACAAAATGTTTTCCTCCTAATGAACAAATCCATCCAATCTCTAAACCTCTTTGTTTCAATTACAACATGTGCCAAGATGGCACAAGTCGCAGAAGAAATAAAAATCAGTCCTAAGCTTCCTGTGCAGTCTAAAAGAATGATTCACAACAACATATCTTCCTCAAATGACGTGAAAGATGAACCTACATGAGTTTGCAGTAGCATTTGCCTCCAGAGAGAAGAATTTGATAGCCTTTGCCGCAGGGACACTTGAAATGAACCACCAAACATTCCCCTGTTTTCTCCACCCACACAACATCTTCAATTTCTTCTACTTCTTTCTCATCCTGCAAAACATTTACATTTTCCTTGTTACCACTTTATTGGTAACCAAACAAATAGTAGTAAGGATTATGAATAATATGTCTGTCAAACAAGATCAAACCTTTGCTGGATCATTGGTGACTCTCAGTTCCTCACTTTCCCGCATTTCATCCAGCCATCCATTCATCTCCTTCAGACATCCTTCATCCTATGCCACCACTGCCATTTGATCAACAATTTCAAGAAACCTTGATCAAAACAGGAAATGCTATAGAAAAGATTGCAAATTAGCAGTAAGCAAAAGAAAACCATTATTTTTCAAACCCCTATTTACACAAACAGCAAAAATTGAAATCAACACAATAGATACATACCCAAGAATGGTGCAAGAAATGTTTAAAACCCTAACAAATACAGACCTGGATATGGGGACTCTCCTCCTGGGTGATTTCTTTCAAGCTGGAAAGAGTTGGAGAAGGACTTATCCAGTGAAGAAGTAGGGTACCCAATCAACCACCTCAGCTCTGCTGCGCCTCCCCTTAATCAATTTTATTAATGTTAATGTTGGGGGTGTCTCTCCAAACAAGACAGAGATTAGATCCACAATAAGTCACTTTAGTACACCTCTACTGATTAACTGCATCACTGCATGCGTCCTTCCTCTTATGACATGTCACCGGCACAGATAAATTAATTGGGATCACCATCTCTAAAACAAAATAGTGAATTGGATTAAAGAATCAATCAATCTTAGGTAAGAAAATGTGGCACTGAGTGTTCCTTAGTAGTTCTATGACTTACCTCTGGTTCAGAATTTTAAAGGTGTGGCAGAATGAATCAAAGTCTGGCTTCTATCTGATTCCCAAAGTCCGTACTTAGAACTTTTCACTTTGAATCAATAACTAAAAAGCCATTTTATGGTACAATAAGCATAATTCAAGAGTACTGAAATGCATACAATGCTTGGGAATTAATTGTTGCCCATATTATGTAATGGTTAAAACCAATATGAAGCAAAGAATTAGTTGAATAGTATACCTCATTTGCCACTTTTTCTGGTTAAGGGACTATTTAAACCTGCTTCAGGGATGCGATCGAAAGCAACAGTGATTGAGAAATCCTGTTCGTTATAGTAGCACAAGAGTTGAGGAAATCACACAAATAGAAACATTAAAATCCACAATGAAATAACCCAAAGTTTGAAGTTGCAATCACCTTTAACAGGTAAACTGCACCTTGCTTGCCAAAGCAAAGGAGATCCTATTCAGCTCTTATTTGGTTTCAATATAACTACATCATGTATTGGTCAGTTTGTGAAAGGAATGGAAGTAGAAGAAGGAAAGATATTTGGTTAGTAGAGAAAAAATGCAACTGATTATAGCACAGTACAGTCTTTTATACCTATGTAGTATATGGGTAATGCAATAATTCCAGTATCAGAACCTTGGACTCCATTTTGAGTAAGTCTCTTTCCATGTGAAATATCAATCTCAGCTTCACCTTCATTCATTTTTCTGTCTTATTCATCCTTCTTTTATTCTATTTCACATCTGAAGCAGATCTATCATGACCCTTACACAGATTGACAACCTTAACCCAGTAAGTCTTAATAAAATTTGATTACAGAATCAAAGTTTATTGCATTCATGCTTGTCAAGAAGATATGACAACATATGTGAATCAAAGTTGACTTGCATAAGATTCATAAGGTCTACATTCTAAGGCACTAATTAAAACCATAAAAAATGTAAGAGCTCCCACCACTAGTCATTGAAACTCAAGCAGTGTTTTCCCCATCAACCCTGGTCCCTGTCTACTTTGAAAACCAAACGCAAAACAAATTATAAGATAACTGAGTGATTCAATGTTCTATTTTGGTAGCAAACATGAGGAAAAAAAAAAGAGTTTACAGTAACTAATATATGAAATAATGCTTATTTGAGTGAATAAATAAATAATTTTGCAGACAATTTTTTCCTTCAAAACCATGCATGTAATTCATACAATATACAACCTGAACATCGAGACACTTCAAATTCAGAATAATGAAGCCCCTCTTCTGAGCACTATCCAAATTTCTTGATGCACCTGAAGAAATAGAGGCTGATATCTCAGCTTCCAACACAACAAAAAAACAAAATGTTGCAAATAAGCAGCATCGCAGAAAACATTTAGGCAGTGGTTGTAAATGCTTGTATGCTCCATGGATGCTTAGGCATGATAAAAGTGCACCTAGGCATGGTTAGGCACAATTAAGCATGCCTAGGCACAATTAGGCGCTAGGCTAATCAGGCATTTTGAAGTGAAACTTTGTCGAATAAAAAGAATCACAAAAAATCCTGCAACAAAATAGTAACTAACCTGCTAATAAATTTTACTACAATTACTCTATATTATACATGCATGTATTCTAATTCTTGAACTTAAACTTGTTTCCTTCTCTCTCTCTCTCTTTTTAACATCATTCCTCTGACTTTTAATTTTTTGATATTTTATTAAAAAAAGAAAAATGCTAGCCTCACCGTTGCGTCATTTTGCAGTTCATTACTAAGCAATCACCTGGAAAGCATTACCCTTTAAACAAAATCAACCAATATGTGCCTTTTCATTCATGAAAATTCTTCAACTGTTTGGTACCCAATGATTGGGAAGATGATTTACAGAGACACCCATTTCTGAATTGGCAATAAATATTAATGAAAACCTAGACCCAATAGCAACCGAAGCTGATATAGAGTTCGAAAAATCCAAACAGAGAATTTAGAAGGGGAGAAAAAAAACTTTCTCCAAATCGATTAAAGGAGTCATATTGGAGATGAACTGTTGCAAAGTCACAGCACTCGATTTCTTCTTCGTCTTGTCTCCCATCATAGCCATTACTGCTTCGCGTCTATTGCCGCTGTTTAGTTTAGAGAGAGGGAATAAGAGAATTCCCCATTTTTAAGAGGTTTACTGACATGCGTAAAAGATTACTCTAGTCCTCAACTTTTGGCCTTGGCTTGTAAAGTTTCCCTCAAATTTTTAAAACCAATCTACCTTCACCTTTTTTATTACTTCACAGCATTTTGTTTGGTCTGAAAGACGGAAGAGGGGAAGAAAAATAATTCTAATCAATCAAATTATTTCGTTCGATAGTCTAACAGCTTAATTCCATTGATGGAAAGAAAATCACCTCCTTTCCCTTTCTTTCACCTTCTTTCCTTCGAACAAAACAGAGTATTAATGATGTTTCAATAGTCACTCTTTTAACTTGGCTTCTTTTAACATCTACTTCAATTACGAACCTTATTACTTTTGATGCTTAAAAGTTAACTTAAATTTGCAACTCTTGATACACTAAAATCTAAATAACTCACAATTGTTGTTGTATATCAACATTCCAATATCAAATGCAATTACCCTAATAACTATCCCTTTTTATCAACAAAAAAAAGGGAGTATAAAGTGGTACTCCTATCCGTACAACACATTGCTTATAAAAACTCATCAAGTCACTACAACGACATCTCACCTAAGTTCAAAAAATAATATAACAAGGATGATCGGAATGTCTGGCACCATATTTTTTTAATGACTTCCTAGATAAATAACAACAAATAAAAATTAATCTTTACAAGAACATCCTACTAACCATTTTCCTGAGCTGCTAAATATAGATGTAGCAGATTAGGCTATAAACTGAAATGCCCTAAGTTGGCGACAAAGAATCTTATACCATCAAATTCTTCATGTATTCATTACAGTATTTAGAGCTACTTAGATACTGGCCATGCTCCAAAAAGTACTCAATGAATTGCCTTAAGAATCTGTCACTTCTTATTGTTTCAGTATCACAGACAAGGCAACACCGTCTTCTTGCTCGAGTCACAACCACATTCATTCGCCTGCTGTCACTTGAAAACCCCATCTAAACATATTTAAAACGCCACAATTTTATTTCCAATATAGAATCCACTCAAGGAAAAAATAGTTAGAACTTAGAATTGTAGCTTAGAGTACCTCGTTGGCAGAGTTTGATCAAACCAGGGAAATCGTAGTGGCTTGCTTATCTCGACCTTGGACACCCATCAACAGTTGAGATCTTTACATCCTTTTAGCTGGTCCTCATTAATTGCTTCTCAACAGCTTTAGTTAGACAACCTAAAATACATTTGAAAATTTAAAAAACAAATCATCATGTATTGGTCATATTGCAAAAGAAATGGGAGTAGAGGAAAGGTAGATATCTAGCTAGTATTTTGGTCCTCACTTTATTAAGCAAGTTACAAAGTATATAAACTAGACAATCAACTAGAGTATAGTTCACTGTTTGGTACTTGGGCAGCATACAGGGTAGTGTAATAGTTACAATGGACTCCAGCTTAAGTCTAGTCTCTTTGTATGTAAAATATCAATCTCAGCTTCACCTTTATTTAGTGTGTTGTCTTCATCTTTCTTCTAATCCATGTCATATCTGAAGTAGATCGATCATGTTTCTTCCACAAATTTAAGAGCTAAAATCAGTAAGTCCTAATAAAATTTGATTACAAAGTCAATATCAAGTCAGGAAGTATGGTTATTATTCTTCTGAATTATGCTAGTTTTATTACATTCATGCTTGTTAAGAATCAAAGTTTAACTTGTTTAAGTTTCACAAGGTCCATAATTTGAACTTTAGTATAAAACAGAACAATCTCACTTAAACACATTAATAGAAGGGAATTATTGTCTACCTCACATAACAATTATAGCCAATATGCTAACAGTACACAAAGAAAAGTATAACTATTGCACCAAAACCAACAAAAATGTTATAGCTCCAAACGATTTATTTGAGTCCTCACCTTTGTGAGCAAGAAGAACATCTCCTTATGTGGATGAAACTCAAGAAGTATTTTCCCCATTAGCCCTATCTACTTTGAACCCAAACTCAAAATAAATTATAAGATAACTGAGAGATTCATTCCATTTTGGTAGCAAACAGAAGAATGGAAAACAACTTTCAAAACTAACACTTGCAATCATTAAGATAATTTCCTATTGTTCAACTTTTCTTAAAAAAATGAGAGCTAACCCATGCATTGAGTGTGCTGTCCAAAACTAGATGTAGCAGATGTGCAGGATAACCGTTGTTGAACTGGGAAACATAGCATTATGCACCTAAGGCTGAGAGCGATCAAGGATGGAGTAGAAAGGGGTCAATTTAACATCTTACTTTGACAATGTTGGAGGTCTATCACCAAACAAGACAGGAACTAGAATTGCAGTAGGGTCCTTTAGTGTGGCACTGAGCCTTCTATTCTAGTTAAATGACTATGACCACATTCAGGCTTGTAAAGATGTGACAATATGAATCACAGTCTGACTTGTATATGATTCCTAAGATCTACACTTAGAACTTTTTAGAGAGTAAAGAACTGAAAAGCCATTCTCGGCTCTCAGTGTTCTTGCATTGTTGAACAAGAAGAAGAAAGAAAAAAGAAGAGAATCAATGAATTCATGAGTTGATAATTGTGGGTTGGAATTCCTGCTTTCTCTCCAACTAATTCATCAAAGATTAGATTGAAAGCACATATTTATGTATGTACATGGTACAACCAAGATACATAACAATGCAACAAAATACATAAGAATACAGATGGTGTTCTAAATCAGTTTTCAAAACAATTAATTTACATAACGTATGAAAACACAAGAATCACATTAAAACAATCCACACAAGGGTAGTAGAAGGGACATCTTTTGAAGCCCGTAAGGAAAAGCAACAACAGACTGGTTGAATGAACCGAGTTCCTGATCCACTGAAAAAACAGAGAGAAATTCATTACTGGAAAATCATGGGGAAGGGAAATCAGGCACTACTAATACATTTTTTTTTAGTGAATTTATATATATGCATTTTCATTCATAAAAAATTCCCCAATTTGTTTGAAATGAATGGTAGAACAAAGATTTGCATAATCATACCTAAATTAAAATATGCAAATTGATTCTTACCTTTCAATCTTTTGGATAACCCTCAGATTCTGACTGTTCCAACTCCGATGATGTATAATCCTCAACTAAAGCATGGGTCGAAAAATCCATTACTAAAACATCACAGGGAAGAGAAATTAAGCACTACTATACATTTTTAACAATGATCAAGGAATTTATTTATGCATTTTCATTCATTAAAATTTTTTTCAGTTCGTAGGAAATGAATGCCAAAACAAAGATTTGCAGAGAGTAGCACCTAAATTAAAATAGCAAATTGATCCTTACCTTTCAATCTTGTGGATAATCCATCGATTTCAACTGTTCCAACCCCGATGATGGAATCCTGGATACATCAACCGAAAAATCGAACAATGGGTCGAAGGAGATCCTTTGCGTTGGGATGGTCCCACTCCAACGCTTCCCACCATTCTAGTTCTCGTTGAAGTATAAGGATTTCTTTGAGGGTAGGAGGAGGAGGAGATGGTTGGGCGTTATCAACCAGGGGAAGAGAAAGAGGCATCCTCCTTAGGCCCTTGCAATCACAAATTCTAATCTCTTCAAGAGAATCACATACCATTACTGCCCTCCTGCTACAGATGCTCTTCAATGCTGGCAAGTTTTGTAAACTCAGATATTTTAATTTTGGAAGAATGAGCTTCTTGATGGTGTCCCCTCCTTCTTCTCCTTCTTCTTCTGGATCTGATGCTATTACTTCTTCCATTTCTTCACAATCATAGACTTCAATCCTTTCTAGACTTTGGAGATATTCCACCAACTTCCAAGATGAAAACAACTTCCTTATTTTTTTGCATTCGTGAATCCAAACTTCTTGGAGAGATGAAAAAGCCCTAGGTGGAGGTGATGACGTCGCCATGACGTTTGCTTCAAACAACCCATCCAATTTGTGCAAATTGGACAGATCCAGACACTCAAGGTTTTGAACGACTGGGTTGTTAATCCACGAGGAAAGAAAGCACTCCATGCCATCACATTTCGAAATCAAACATCTCCTCAATTCTGTTGCATCTTTGATTACAGAAATATCATTTAAGCTTCTTATGTCGTGGCAAGCTTCAATACGTAATTCTTGTACGGAGGGAAATACCATATTCTCTCCAACAATACTAGTCTCCTCGAACACCATTATTTTCTTATATCTTGGTAACTTTATTGGAAGACGGTAAGACATATTCAAATTGCTTCCAACAATAATAAAATAGTCACTCAGCCTATTAGGCTCACATTTGAGAAAAATTCTCATTTCATTCGCAGTGGGGAACCAGCCCTGAAAAACTTCCAACTTCTTCAATCTCCCAACCACGTCCCCCTTCAATTTCATGTAACCTTTTTGTGATACCCAAAGAAAAAGACATTTCAAATTCTTCAACATTCCCAGGCCTTCAGGGACTTCTTTGATTCTTCTCCCCCTAAGGTTTAACTTTTTCAAAGATTCAAGGCCTGATAAAGATGGTACCCTTTCTAGGCTCGTGTCTTCCAACAACAAGAAAGTAAGCTTCACCAATTTGGAGACAGAATTTGGCAAGCTACTTAACTGCAGATTGAAGGACAGATCAAGAATTCTTAGCTCTGGCATGTGCTCAAAGACTGATTCTGGAATTGTTGACAATTTGTTATTGGCTAGCAACAAGGTTGTGACCCTTGTCCATGTTGAAGATACCAAGTTGGATGGAATTTCTTCAATATGATTATGCATTAATGAAACCTTTTCAACACCTTTTGCAGATATTACCCTTTCTGGTAGCTCTGTCAATGCTTTGCCAGCTTCTAACAAGAATCGAGGACTCATTCTTGGACTCATTCTTATAATGTACAAGGCCATGTCCCTGATAAGATCATGCATCCTCACATAAGCTCTAACTTCATCGCTGATAAGATCATGCCTCCTCACATAAGCTCCAACTCCATCTTCAATCAATTCCAACAAGCTATTCTCTTCAAGTTTCCTCAAAATATGATAACCCTCATCCTTCATTGCATGCCAAGTTTCCATTTCATCTATAAACCCCTCACCAATCCAATATTCAATTATTTCATCCTTGGGAATCTTGTAATCCTCAGGATACAGTGCACAGTATAAGAAACAATATTGCATCTGTTGGCTTCTCAAACGATCATAACTGAACTTTAATATCTGAAATGCATCAGCATCATCTGTACCTGTTACATTTCTTTTGCAATCTCTCAATTGATTTAGTGCAACACTCCACAACCGTGACTCAGATATTCCTTTTAAGCTGCCAGCAACTGTAATAAGTGCCAACGGAAGACCATCACATTCATCCACAATCTCCTTCAAAGTTGATTCTAAATCCTTTTTAATGCCCCCTTCATGATCTGATAAAACAGCATCTCCAACTTTATTCAAAAACAAATTTAAAGCTTCCTTTTGTGGAAGAATCTTCACTTTGATTTCTCTACAACCCAGTGAACGAACAACCTCTAGTGACCGTGTAGTCAATACTAACTTGCAGCCATTTGGCTTAGGAATTCCAACTGTTTCAAGTTCGAAACTGCACCACACATCATCAAGAATCAGCAAGTAAGGCTTCTGTTCCTCTAGCATCTTTGACAACACTCCTGCACGAATACTTTCATTTTGACGCTCTTCCAACTTTTCCTTCAAGTTCAAGCTGCATGCAATTTGATCTTGCAATTTGGGGATATAAAAGTTTTGTGACACAGTTACCCAAATTATTTTCTTGAATTTACCTTCTTTTAGCAGTTCATTATGGACATGCTTCATTATTGTTGTTTTCCCGACTCCCCCCATCCCCCAAACTCCAAGCATTGTCACCTCTTCCCCCTTCAAGCATGCCAAAATATTTGCTTTAACAGCCTCACTGCCTTGTAACTCTGATGTTGTCAATTCAACTACCGAAGCTGATGGATCATCAATGACCAAACACTCATCAGTGTATCTATCCCCTCTGCCATATATTTCGTTCAATTCCTGAACCCTTCCCTCTAGAATCTTTACTCGGCAGCAACATGAGAGACATCCCCAACCATTCACTTCATCTTCAACCTCTGGTCTTGCAATAAACACTTCTGCATCATCCAACCATCTTTGCACTTCCACCCTAGGAACCTTCCCATAGCGACGCTCTGTGCTCAATTTTGATTCAATGTCACACCTTCGACTGCGCAAGTCATCTTTCCTCCTCTTGAATTTTTCCAGAGAATCGTTGAATTTTATCTGATGTTTCAGATGTCTCACAATTGGGCCACCAACACATTTCACTATTTCAATAATTGATCCCAACAAGTCCATAACGCAGTCACTGCATCCAACACATTATTTACATTATTACATAAAGAAACGGTGATAAAATTCTGGTTTTGCATGCATCTGCATATGCATCTTGCATTTAAAACTTAAAGGAAAATATAACCCAAATAAAATATTATGATAGTATTAAAGTCTTTTAATTTACTGAAGAAGTCAGCAAACTAAATCAAAACAAACGAAGATTTTGGGAGAGAAAAGTGATAGTGAAGAAAATATGCATGAGATGGTAATTGACATTAAATTTGGTGAGTTAATGGTAAAATCCCATGTACAATAAGTTCTATGATAATCTCTAAAATTTTTCCTATTATAAATTTAAGGCCAAGTTTCGATGGATCTTGTTTAACGGGTCGGGCTTAACCCGTTGAACTCATATCCTTCAGCCCATTCTTCAAAAAGAGAAAAAAAAAAAAAAAGAAAAAAACTATGAGAAAAAGAGAGAGCCAGTTTTTCTCGGACCCACTTCAACAACAAATGTGTGTTGGCTCAATTGCAGGCCCTAATATTAACTAAAAAAAAAAGAAGGAAAAAAAGGGTAATTTCCTTTCTCAGTTAACCAAAAAGGAAAAAAAATGGGAGTCAAAGATGTTCAAACCTAATTCACGCATTCTAAATCATTTTGTTGACTTCACCTAAAAGTTTTGATTCCATGTAACCTGGACCCTTCTATTTGCATTTGACTTAATCTGGTCCATGCATTTGAACTCACCTCAATTTGGTCCACTTTTTTCTCAATTGCATCTTCATATTTTTACTTGTCTCAATTGAGTCCTAAAAACTCTTATATCTATCCTCGCATCTTCTTTTTATATTAATAATTTATTTATTATTATTCTTTCTTTCCTTATCCTCTTATCTCTATTATTCTTCTTTAGTCAACCATTACATTTTCATCTATCATTATATTTTTTTGACCCCAATTTTTCTTTCTATCATTAAATATTTTCTGTTTCCTTGATATTACAATAACATAAATATTTTAAAATCACAAATAATTTAGTAATATATGTAATAAAATTATTCACATATCCACATTATGAATCTTAACCAATATAAGGTGAAGAACCTATATTATTTCCCTCCATTTCCCACTTCATATTAGTAATTTATTTGTTATTATTCTCTTTCCTTTTATCCTTTCATCTCTATTATTTTTTCTTATTCATTCCTTTAAATCTCTATCTACCTAAATGTATCTCTTTTTTTTACTAGTTTTTAACCCTTGATACTTTTTTACTTACATACACTCCATCCTTCATTAATTTTTCTTGGGTCTTATTCTTTTAACTTATTCTCTCACATTTTATAATTATATTTATCTACATTTATTTTCTCCCAATATATTAATAATTTATTTGTTATTAATTTTTCATTCATTTTGCTTGTTCTTATTCCCTCAATATTATTCTTCCTTAGTTACTCATGCATCTCTATTTATTATGAAATTCATGTTTTATAAGGTAGATTATATATTAAAAGGGTAGTTTGCCCCAATAAATTTACTTAAATATCCTTAATAAAATAATATAAAAACTAATTTTATTAAGAGTATTTAAGTATATTTATAATCCACCCTCTAATACACTTTTTTGATTTATTATTATATATAAAATTTACCCCTCTCTCTCTCTCCCTTGTTGTGTGCATAATTCTTTTAACTTTTATCTTGTTGAATATATTAAGAGCCTTTAAGGATTCTTACTTCTTACTTTATTATTTTTTGGTGATTTAATTTAGCCTTTTGATAAATAGAATATCTAAACATTTTAAAATTTGTTATACAGCTATTTCTTTACTTTTAAGTTCTTTGTAAGTGCTCTTACTTCCTGCTTACACTAAGGAGCTAGGTTCATTTAGAACCTATTTTGTACTTTTTAAAGAAAATCATGTTTAAGGGCCATTTCTCATCTAATAATTTATATTTTATAATTCAATATTGTCTCGATTGCACAACAAATTTTCTACTTGTTAAATGGGTTTTTTAAGCTAATATAGTCATTATTATCAAGTTGATACACATCAATATATGTACTATAATTTGTAGCTACTCATAATCATTATTTAGTTGTAGCTACTCATAATCATTATTTAGAAATATGATTATTCAAAATTATTTGCATCTCAATCATTACTCCCTCAGTCTTAGAAAAATAAAGTAAATGAGAATCAATTTGTGAAGTGTCACTTTGAATATAATATAATATGTATTTATACTAAACAAATTACATAATTGAAATAAAAATCAAATTATATATA